CCCGAAAATGTTGGCGGCCACTTTGCTACAACATCAGCAGCAAGTGGATGCACAGATTAATAACCTGCAGACAGCAATGGGACAACTGATGCAGCAGGTCGGCCCGGGAGCCCAACAGCCACCACCAGCACCACCACCAGTGTTGTTACGTTCGCCTGGTAGCATGCCAGAGAAGTACGGAGGTGAGGTGGAACAGATGAGAACATTTCTAGCACAGTGTGAATTGTTCATGGATGGCAGACCGGGAGAATTTCCTACAGATCAAACAAGAGTGGCTTTTGTGATGAGTTTGTTGAAAGGCTCGGCGGCCAAGTGGGCCTTACCCCCCCATAGAGACTGTGATTGCACAATTGATTTGAAGCCAGGTGCTAAAATCCCAGCCAGAAGGCAATTCCCCATGTCTGCAAAAGAGTTGGCTGTTCTCAAGGATTATATAGAAGTAAATTTGAAGAAAGGATTTATCAGGCCATCAAAGTCTCCAGCCTCAGCCCCCACATTTTTTGTACCAAAGAAGCCAGACCCACAGACATTTGGAACTAACACCGGTGCGACTATTCCACTGCACACAGTTCATGATTACAAACAGTTGAATAAAGTGACTGTTAGGGATCATTATCCACTCCCACTGATTTCAGATCTTTTAGACTGGCTACAGAAGGCTCACATTTTTACAAAGCTAGATCTGAGAAATGCCTACAACCTTATTTGTGTGAAGGAAGGCCATGAATTTCTTACAGTTTTTGATTCCAGATATGGCAAATATGAGTACACGGTCATGCCGTTCGGGCTTTCCAATTGTGGAGCAGTGTTTTCTAGATTTATGAATCAGATTTTCTCTGAAATAATTGATTCTTGTGTGGTGATTTATTTGGATGACATCCTAATATACTATGGCGATGTCCAATCACACACAATGCATGTCAGAAATGTGTTACAGAGGCTGAGAGAAAATAAGCTTTTTGCCAAACCCGAGAAGTGTGCGTTTGATTTGCCACAATTGGACTATTTAGGTTTTAGAATTTCTACAGAGG